TTGACTTCACACGACAGTCTACAGCAGGTGGACTGGTAAGTTCACCCTCAACTTGATGTGGATGCTCATTGTGACTTCTTATTACACACGATCTTATGTGCTGCAAGGCAGTCTGTTCCTCTAACGGTCCCCGAAATCTACAAACAACCTACGGTCATCAAGAGCCGCACTCTTCGTTTGCTAAGCCGTAACATGCACTGGTGGGCCGAATACAAAGGAACTGGTAAAAATGGCGCACACAGGCAATACAAAAAATAAGGAACATATGCACAATGGCAATAAGAGAAGACAGGCCTTAGTACCAGATAAAGCCTATCGACAAATTTTTCTCCAATCCGGAAGACTTTTTCCATCATGTAGCTTCTATTTGATAAGCCGAAACTGGAGTTTCTAAATGCTTGGTCCTAATGGCCCGACCAATAACGACGGTGACGCCGCTTACCTCTTGGCTGAACAATACTCCCAGACATTTCAACTGACCCATACTAACTATATTGATGAAAGCTTCATCCGCAATTGCACAGGACTTTCCGAAGTTAACCTGAGCGCTGACTTGGTGTACCAGAAAATGCAGCACCCGAAAAAGGACATTTCTCCTGGACACGATATTGTTCGTACTGATGTACTGAGAGAAGCATCCTTGATCCTGGCAACACCACTTGGCGTGGTGTTTTTACACTCGCTAAGCCGAGACACATTACAAGAAACTCGGAAGATCAATCACATCACAAAAATTTTCAGAGGAGGTCGATGTGGCGAAACTCCGACCTATCGACCGGTAGCACTTCTCTCTATACCATCAAAAATTATGGAGTCCCTGATATGTGATGGCATGCAAGATTACTTATTATTCATAACCTTCATTTCACCCCAACAGCACAGCTTCAGAACAGCTCACTCTTGTATAACCAACCTGCTGTCTGTGGTGGACAGATGGTCAACCACCCTTCGTCACGAGGGGGAGGCTGATGTTACTTACCTTAGCTTCTCAAAAGTTTGTGATAGATCCAGTCTAAGGTGTCTTATCAATAAGCTTAAACGATTAGGTATCAACTCACTTTCAATTGATTGGCTCACTTCTTATCCGAAAAATTGACATTTTAATGTCACGGTTAACTTCACTTTCTTTCAGGCTAAGGAATGTCCTAGTGGGATCCTCCAGGGTCAAGTATTAGGATCTCTTCTTGTGTGATTTATGTGAACGATCTTCCACAGCAGGTATCGTCAAATTTTTTTACTTTTTGCTGATGTGAAACTCTGGAGGAAATTACGTAGCCAAGATATAGTATTCTGATTGTCGTATGAATTAGGAATTCCAGGATTAACGCAATTGAATTAAGAAGACACAGGCACCAACGAATGCATTGTATTTAGAATTTGAAATCAAGCATTCAACCAGTACAAAGGTATCATTAGTCCATTCAAACACCACATCCGCCACAGCTTAAATAGGAGTATAAGTGTTTGTAATCGGTTGTACGTCTTCTTGTTAAGTTCATCCTGAGTCTGTCCGACATTGTATAAGATAAAAACTTTGTAATATCTAGAAAATGCTCATTAGTATTGGAATTAACAAACGAAATCGGAACAGACTCACCTGGAATTGTTTACAATCAGCATATCGGTTTTGTACTGAACTCATTATTATCTAAAATTTGAACCATAGATTTTTCAACACTATCCTCCCCCACAAAATAATGTTGGATCTTTATATCCCCAAGTTATGAATAATGTGGCTTCATTTAAAACATATTCCTCACATTGTTTAGAGTAAACATTAGAACTGTTTTTGTGATAAGGGTAAACAGCAGTTGATATGAAATCATCCAAAATGTAATTAAACTCAAGGTCACTTAGTACTCGTGCTTCGCATTGAGCAGGTTTTTCATAAGGATCGAATGCATTATGAGGAGAGGTAATATATGATATGACATCAGGATTTGATTCTTCTGAAATATTCTCATGAAATTCATTAGGGCTGTCATTGCAGAGCGTAGGATCGTTAGAAAAACCAGCATCTATCCAAACCACATCAGGTTTCCGATCATGATTAGGTTCATTTAACATATTTTCCTCAATATTGCAAGTAATTTCATTAGAAATATGTGAATCATTAGGAAAAGTCATACCTGGTACAATAGCATGAGAATTCTGATAAATCGGTTGATTAGGAACTGTTGTCTCACAAGAATTCTGGATTTCATCTAACTCTGAACTGTCATATGACTCTGCACTGTCTTTTGAAATCGTTGATAAAGATAAATGGTCATTAGAAACGTCCGAATTATCTAAATTTAAATTACAAGATTTAGTACAGCTTGAAGCAGAATGGACAATAGCTTTGCATACTGACTGAATGTGTCCTACCTTACCACATTTAAAACATTCAGCATTACGAAATACACATGGATTGCGAGCATGAAACTTTCCACATGATAAACATTTACCAAACTTCATCTCACCTTTATGATTTGCTTTGTAATTCGTCGTTGAAACACCTCTCATATTTACACGACAATAGGAATCACTGTTAAATGAACGCAAATTTGATTGACCCTGAGATTGTAGTTCATCATGACGACTAAGCAAAGTATCAGAAATCTTCATCGACTGGATATCAAGTTCATTCACTGCTTCGTAGTTAATACACGCAGTCCTAGCATCTTGAAAGGAACAGTTTGGCATTTTTAACAGCTCTCTTTCCAAACTCGGTATGTTAATTCCTGCAATTAATCGATCTCTCAGTTGCACATGAAGTTGATCACCGAAATTACACTTGGCAGCTTGTTTCTGTAATTCAAGGATGAATTCCCGAGCCTTTTGGTCATTTTGACGAATCATCTTATGAAACTTCGCCCTTTCACGGCATTCAAAACTGGTGAATTTTACATGACTTAATAATAGCCCTTTAAGAGTTGCATAAGGGAGTGAGATAGGTTTTTCTGGATATGCCAAAGTTTTTAATAAGCTGTACGCTTCTCTCCCAATGAATGTGAGGAAGTGTGCCACAATATTAACATCCTCATCATCTTCTTTGGTCATGCTCCAGATTTCGAACCTTTCCAAATAATCCTCAAAAGCTTCAGGAGTTGAATGAATATCTAACTTTTCCATTACAGGTTCCATCGCGACGCCAATATGGTATTCTAATTGTCGTAGGAATTAGGAATTCCAGGATTAACGCAATTGAATTGAGAAGACACAGGCACCAACGAATGTATTGTATTTAGAATTTGAAATCAAGCATTCAACCAGTACAAAGGTATCATTAGTCCATTCAAACACCACATAAGAGTATAAAGCGGTACTGTACCTTTACCCATTAGAGCACGGGCATCTTAAAGGTGACCTTCTAATGACTAACAGAGTCCTAAACACTTCTATACATCCCCTCAAACACCTAATTAAACGTAATCCCAACACAAAACTTAGAAGTAACACACAGGAAGTAAAGACACAACACAACAGAGCCGACTGTAGGTACATCTTATACTCTTTAAGAGTAGTCAAATTATGGGGTTCGCTGCCAACTGAGCTGGTTCAACCGACTACTCAGGAGTCCTTTAAGAAAAAGCTTGACATTTTCTTAAGGATTAAGGACAGTAACTTACTATGATTTACCAACTCTTTTCTTTTTCCTCCCTTGTCAATAATGTACCTAGGTTCATGCATGAAGATATCGGTGATCCACCGCTACTAGATACGGAAGCCCGTTAGGCAAAAGCGTCTTATATTCCGTTCAGAACCATTTGAACCATTTATTTTAGCTCTTCGCACTCACTCTACTGTTCATGCTACCTAGTACAAAAAGTGAATCCTCGCTTGACGCAATCCGCTACAGGGAAACATCAATATGGGTCTATAAATAACAAAAATATGTTTTGTTTCATGCTTTTTTTATTGGATTTTGAATAGCCACGTAAAAATCAAAATGTGTCAGTTCAAGGTCAGGCTTTTCGTGCAAGAGGTTTCGGGTAATTTTCCATGGTATTTAACTGATAATTCTTCTGAGGGGGAGGGGTTGACAATCGTTAGTGCATATATATCGAATCTCACTGTCAGCCTTTTCGTATTAAAAATGTAAACTAACCACCATGTGATTGTCAAAATAGAGTCTAACTTTATATTCATCCAACCATGCAAATATTAAGGTGGTTTCTGATAAACCAAAACTCGTTGACGTAGGTCACACTTTTACAATCAAACCTACTCAGTATGCTAATGTTTGCAAACTTTCAAATGAAGCATTCGGCTAGAGTCGTTAAGATAAGGAGGCTCAACGACGATATAGGTAAGACCAGGGAAGGTTGACAGTTGACCACTGTTTATAATGTAGAAGCACCTAAATAATATACTAATACCTACAGCTTTAATTAATCAGTCACTTATTACCTTTCGATATTGATATCTAGCTTCGTAGCTGTTACTGATCGTAGATGCCTTCCAAATACCATTCGGTTTTTCAACCTACTAGTGGTTACAAAGTGTAAAATCTACAGTTTAACCACTTCTCCCATAGTTATGCTCACTGATTGTTCCTCCACCGGTTTGAGAAACAACTATTTCCAACCTTATGCTTTTAGTGATAAAATACTATATACACTTCTCTTTTTGTGAAGTATTTGATTTTATTCCAAGTCACTTCAGTATAAGTATTGGTGTTGTGACTTGACATGTAAACAATTTTCTCCTGAGGCATTTGCATTCTAGCCCTCAATTTGGACACTAAAATGCTTCTCACTTATGCGTTAGCAGTGGCCTTTTTGACTCAGATCATTTGGTACATCGACCTCCACTTTTATATCGTAAATAATCACAGTTCTTGTTATTTTTACTTTTCATTTTAGGTATGAGATTATCTGCTGTATTCCGATATATAATATGACCACTTTAACACTATTTAAGATTTGGGGTTACTCACGCTAACAGTTGTACATAAAAAGTATCCACATTTAAACACATGATAATCCTTATTTTATACAGACTGCCTTCGATTAACAATGATTCCTGGTGGTCAAGCGCATATTAACGCTAGAGATGCAGCAGTAAAATCTATTGATGAACTTGCCAACTATTTCAAAGTAAATTACTCATTCTCCTTTCTTATTTCACTACTGCTTTAGGTTGACCTAAAAACTGGCCTTGATCATACTGAAGCTCAACATCGACTTAAGTTATGTGGTCCAAATGAGTTGAAACACCCAAACCCAGATCCTTTATATAAGAAATATCTCGAACAATTTAAAGAACCTATGATACTGTTACTACTTTCATCAGCATGTATCAGTCTTATTATGAAGCAATATGATGATACCATTAGTATTACTGTTGTAAGTTTCATTATTCCTCCTAGTAAATACCCATTAATCCTTTTTAGGCAATCTTAATAGTGGTTACTGTCGCGTTTATTCAGAGTTATAGATCAGAGAAAGTCCTAGAAGCTTTACAAAAATTGATGCCACCGAAATGTAGCTGGTAAGATTTCGTTAAATATTGGTTATAAGTTTCCTTGGATTAATAATATCATATAGGATAGGTCATCATCTCAGTCGGATATCACGATTAGCTTACCAACGAAGTGATAAATTAGCAATTAACTATTTGGAAGTAAATATCTTAAAGATATTCGTAATTAACCCAGTATAAGTACTCGTTTGTCGGGTTATTTAAATACTTTCCAATACTTCTTTTTCACTGCTAATTCTATATATTCTCTGAGGAACTTGATTTTCTTAAAACTTAACTACCGGTTACTCCGAGAGATTAGCATGAGGCTTTTACCAGTCAGTCAAACCCGACGTATAACTTGGTATGTGTGTTCGTTAGTATAAGTTGCCAGACCCAAATATCATAATACTATCTTACTATAACAACAGCTTCCTTCTAGTTTTTGTTATCAGCCAAGCTCTCTTATCTGATGAGATTTTAAAGTAAATATAATCAGAATGGTATGATACAGTGTTCTTTCTTGGGTATTATGTAAAGGTTGCTACTATAAGTCTTAGTCTGTACTTGTTTCTGTGGTAGTTTTATATTGATACGCGTTTCTGTTCCCGCCCAGACGACTTAATAAAATATTGGATATAGTTAAGATGGTTAAAATCCTATATCCGCTTGTGGAGTAAGTTATAGATCCTAACTGAATAAATTTCAAAATACAGAATCACTAACTAACTGTAAATATATATAGTACGGATTAGTAACTGTTATTTATGCATAAAATATTTCACCCAAAATGCATCTTTGAGTTACCTGTCAGTTAGCGGCTTAAAATCAAGCATATCACTTAGGTTCATAATGTAATCAAGTGGTCCGTCGCTTCTGTCCATCTGCAGTCAGTCACGGTGTAGAACGTGGTACGTATGTACATCGGTTCAAGCTTCCACACCCCATTGGCACAGCGATATAAAGTTGTTAGGGGAAATCCCACAGTAGTAGAGGTAGTAACAATATCAGTAGTAATAGAAAACATTAGGCATCGAAGATATATAAATTAGCAAAACACGAAAAATAATGAGGAATTCAGAAGCCTAGAATTCGAAGGAGGACAAAAAATGGACGGACCTGCACCATTGCAAACGACTTTGAGCTGTTTCAATCGAAGTATTTAACCCCTGGTTATGATAATCACACGATCCCTAAGCAGGTGGCCGATGCTTATTAACATGAGTGAACCCAGTTGCCAGTGACTTCATCGACTGATCCCATGTTTTGGTTTGGACTCCCCTAACGTTTTTCTATCCTACTCATACACCAGATATCGCCGATCAAGGTAGAAGATGGTTGGACATACGCAACACATGTCGCAGCCACGTTGGTTCATGACAATCTACTGCCTCTTCATCCGATTTACCTTCACCTAGCACTATATTCCTGATCTAGACACTCCTTACTCTTTGGTCCCAAAATACACAAGAAATTCTTCGTAGACAACTATGATTGAATACCATTAACCTGCAAATATCCTCTACTCTAAATCCTCATGTTTTACACCCATAAAGTAGAACAGAGTGAACTGATGAGCAGTAAACTGGTCCTTTGATTGGCAGACGGATATCTGTCCTGAGCCACAAGTGAAGCGATTCGGCAGAAGCCGATCAAGCCTTCTTACTCTGTGCCGATATTTAGTCAAATACCAACCCGCCAGGACTGACGAGACTCCGAAGATGAGTAAAGGAGTTGGTACGGCCAACTATCTCATACCGCATCATTAATCCAGGCACTGACGCAGGGCGATTCTGAGGCAAAATTTTTCATTTAGAGGGCGAGAAACGTATCCCAAACGTACTTGCATTGTTGTTTAGTGGTCAGAAGATTACATTTTGTCAGTGTTTTCACTAAGCAAAACTATATCATTTGCTGTAGCGAAAACATTTCAGTGCTGTTCATCTGTTTATTAAACTGCTTCTTATTTAAGTGGCATACTTTATTTTCGATAACAACAGTGACTTAGAGTATTTAATGTAATAACCAAAGGAAGTGACTCTCGGCTTACTTTCATTTGTGCTAACCTGTTGCATTGTTGTTCTTAAATAACTTACAGTTGGTCAGTTTTCTTCATGTTGTAATGAAACTTTGCCGATATATATGAAATAGTACCAAACGTGTTGATCTAAGCTTTTCTCATCGATTTTAATATGTCGTCCGAATAAAAGTACCAGTTTTTAACCAACCATATATCTTATTGCTTTAGTGATGTACTTGCATATTCGTCCTCACAATTATGTTTTACGCATATATTCTAGGGATCACTTTATAATTATCAAATATAGTGACTAAATTTATATGTGTTCAATACTATATCCCGAATCATATGAATAAATATCTAATTGATAGACTAGTTATTGAGGAAAAATATATAAAACCGCCAAATCATGTTCTCATCCAACTGTAACATTTTTTCTTCATAAATCTTCTGTATTTTTTGCAACACTTTTTTGGAATATTATGTATGTCCATTTGACTTTTTAAAAAGGAATAAAACGCTATCAATAAAATATAGTGTCCACAATTATGTGAATAAAGTTATGTTAATATATATATCGTATCCTAAAGGCAAACTGGAGTGTGGTAGAATCGTCGAGTAATTAAGGTTACGGTTGGGTGCAGGATACAGCCGCTCACTGCTCTAACACTGATTAACGTACTAGACTTTAATCCATAATTTTGATGTCAGGGCTGTTGATACTAGCGGGTTGCCGAAACTAGTATGGGTGGAACAGGGGTTCGTACCAAAAACCTAGTTGTTGAAGTCGATTATTTTTGCTTCTGGTCCACTACTTCAGTCTCAGAGTACCAGGCTGACTGCCTCGACGTGCTATGTTCAGTGGTATAGGAGTAGGTTGGAAGAAAGCTAGGGGCGGCCAGACCAAAACATGGCACAAGTCCATGAAGTCACTGACAAGTGGACTGAGTCATGTTGGTAGGTGCAGACTACCTGGTTGGGGACCGCGAGATGATAGCAACCGATGGTTAGAGACCCTGAATGACATGGCTCAAAATCGTTTGCAATGGCGCAGGTGCATCCACTCTCTGTGTTCTCCGAAATTCTAATCTTCTGAATTCTTCATGTCCCTTTCTTTTTTCTCTTTCCAAATTTATTTCACTGGATTATACTCTTTAAATAACATCTCCAAACCCTAATCTTCCCGATTACTGCTTATACTCTTATTACCTCTACCACTACGGGATTTGAATCGACAACTGCATCTCTGTGCTTATGTGGTGTGGCAACTCGAACTGATGTACGTACGTACGAAGTTCTACGTTGTTACTGACTGACTGACTGACCAGGCTGACATGAGGAAGTCGGTCATTGACGCGGAATTGAACTAACTGAAGACGCTGAGGTAAATACTAGTCGATTTAAATTATTATCTACCTCAGATATACTATCGTGGCTTGAGTATGCCTATACTCGAGGACTGTACTTTCTCTAAGTGCGATAACTTGCACTAATACAATTTTACCCCAAGGTTCCATGTTTAGTTCATGTGCGTCTTTATTCTCATTAATTCATATTTTAGAATGACACGAATATACTGAACAGCTCTCTTGTTGTATGCATTAAACTTATCTTTCGGATACAAAGTCTATTTTGTCTATATCAGTGCCTATTTACCTGATTTCCTTCGTAGATCTTACCACATTTTTTTACCAATACTAATTACACCTAAATGATTGATGAGATTATAAATCTACCAATGTTACATATCTCCCTTTACCACTAATTTTTTCTAATTAATATAATTTGTGGCATACATTTTTTATCACTTTAAACCACAGTTAAATACCCAATGATCCTCCTAAAAGTACTGACTGTTCATCATAAACAACTGTAGTTTTCCTTTTGTTTTCGCACTAACATGATATGTAACAGGCTGTTATTTTTCTGTTATCAGTTTTAAAAGATGAGTTTGTGTGTTGTTCATTAAGAATCCTGTACAACCTGGTAAGCATAGGTTTGAACACTTCACCCACTTTCGGAGGGACAGTGGAGTAGTGTCCGTTACTATTATCCTGTCAATTTTTCTAACGATAACTTCAAAAACGTGGCTCATGTGCATGCTAACGATTGATAGTTCACACAACTCTACCTTCTAACTACCAGTCAGAACACTAGAATATTACCTTTTGCTGTCTTTTATTATTCAGACCTTAAAACGTGATTATATACATAGAATACAAGATTATGGTAAATTGTAAACAATTGACCTCAATCTATGCATAACTAGGACACTGATTACAACAAGATTAGTGGTCAAATTACCATAGTTTATGAACGGTAAAATATATAGTAACAACGATTCATGAGGTAAATGAAAGTTTATGTTTAAGAGATGATTACAATAGTATCGTAAATCATATAATTGATAAACACTAGAAAAATATGTCCCGACACCCCAGAGCATAGTTCTCAAAGTTTCACATCCTCACTAATTTGCTTCGTCACCAACCCACATATAGAAAGAAAATTTTCTTCATAGCCCCAAGCTTACGAACTCGTACATGGTTGTTGAATTACGTCGCTATTGCCACTTCTCCTGAATAACATTCAATATGTTTAGTGTATAAATAGTTGGCAGAATTGATTAGGAATTTGTTTCAATGAGGTCTAGTTATTTATTCTAATCATTAGAGTTACAGGACTTGCGTGATTAGCTAACAATCTCAATCACTAATTGTTTAATAAACCTAATCACTTGGTTATATATATATGTGTTCAAATATATATACTGGTTTTATGTCAGGCTAAATAACCAAGATGGTTTTACTTGTCATTTGCTCATTGGTAACTGGTCAGGAGACATAATGCAACAGTGTCATTTATTTATATATCGAAATATTCAATGAAGTCATGATTATATTCCAATTAATAGATAGCAAGCATATAAACAATCAGACTTGAAAATGAAAAGTGCAAAGTGATTGATAGCAATCTAACTTTTGTGATGGACACGTTTATCGCTAACTGATTAACCTATTGCTAGTAACACCATAACTTTGAATGAACAGTGAAATATTTAATGCACAATGTTTCACTTGACTAAAATGGGATGTAATCACTGATATAATTTTCGTTGTAATACTTTGTCATCTTTTCTATCATCAGTATAAGGTTGTGGAAATTATTAAGTTTTTGATTGAGATCATGAATCGATTAATGTTAGACCACCATTGAAGACTTGGAAGTACTGAACGATCATTTCGTGCTATTGTGGAACTCTTCAGCAGTTCGTATCCACGATCCCGCTTCCGGGATTCGAACCCAGAACCTTCTGTCTCGTGTGCGAACACTTAACCTCTGGACCACTGAGCTGGAATCCAACGGTGTTAATGTCTAACCTCAACCAATCCACGAAATTGCGCGACTATCTTCACTAGTACTGAGGTAGTGGTCTAACATCAGTCGATTTATGATCTCAATCAATAACTTTTCTATGGTGTTAAAATGATCAGTATTACTAACCAAGTGGATATTTATACGATCTGTAGATGTTAAATTCATTACAGTCTGATTAGTAAATAAATCTTTAAAAAAACTTGTGTATTTTATCGTATAAAATATTGACTATAATCGTTGTTATAGTTTTAAAATCTCACCTATTTATTGTTTGGTAATTGGTTCACACTATTACAATGTAATAAATTTACTAATTACTCTAATTGTTCATATTAGTTAGTCAGTTAGTTAATAATAAACAAATGTGTTTCGGGCTCAAATTGGTATATTTCAAATTAGCGCTTAGCAAGACGAAATTGACAAGCAGGCCAAAGCAATATTTTCTGGGTTAGTAAGGAGATACGGTGTTGTGGTCTCTGAATTGGACTGTTTAGTTGTGAAGCTCTCTCTGTCCTTCTGGACAGCACCACCACATGATCCATGAACAACGACCAACCAACCTCCAGATTAACAGAACAAGCTGTTTGTCAATTGCAGTAAAATTCTAATATCTCATTCCTCTGTGAAGTATGTGACTTAATTTGAAACAGAGTTAGTATCGCAGATGAATATATTATTTTAACCTGTAATATGCACTATCTACTGAAAATATTTTTTGTTTGTTTTCTATCCAAATATATATATATATATATATATATATATATATATATATATATATATATATATATATATCATCTAGTCTACGTAGTGGTGAAATGCATACATTTCTAGCTTCATATCTTGTTCCTGGTGATATTGTCTGTTTATCAGTTGGTGATCGTCTCCCAGCAGATTTAAGACTTTTCGATCTGACAGATTTACGAATGGATGAGTCTAGTTTGACTGGAGAAACTGAAGCCGTTCCCAAATCTTCAGAGATTCTTTGTACACATTTCCCGATATCTGATACTTCTGAAGTTAGATTTTCATCAACACAAAATGGTTAGTAATAATGTATACAGAGTAAAATGTTTATTACTTAACGTTCTCAATCTTGTTGCATTTTCTTAGTTGTGTTGTTGTAGGTTGATGATTGAAGCAGACTTTAAGCGTGATTTACTTTTTTCTCGTAACAAGGCTATGAGTTTAGTAAAATGACTTGGGAGCATGTTTTGACCAATATTGAGTGAATACTGCTATCAATGGTAATTATAAATAATGAGCACAATATATCTTTCTGTCTTCACTCAGCCTCAGATAGATTTTTTTCAAATATAGCTCAGGATGTTTATTAAATTCTATTAAAGAACTTGATCAATCAAAGTCTCACGGAGAACCCTTAATCATTAGGATCATTGGGTCGGCGTTAAGTGGTACTGTTCCCACTCCAACCAATTTACGACGTGGTGAGACGAGCATCTAATCCTATTTGTGACAACTATTTCACTTCTGATATGTCTAAACCCAACCAGTTATGACTTCTCACTAGAACTTCAGGAGCATCCTGAACTAGGTGACTGTTGGGATGTTTATTATAGTCTAGTTAAAGCTGCTTTGTGGAGATCGATTTTATCTGTACGCTGTGTTCGTTACAGATTGATCTTAATTGGCGGTACCATTGCAAAGCAAGGGATACCAAGACTTACTTACTTACTTACTTACACCTGTTACTCCTCGTGAAGGAGCATAGGTCGCTCACCAGCATTCTCCATCCAACCCTGTCCTGGGCAATACTTTCCAGCTCCTTCCAGTTGTAATTCATCATTTTCATATCTGCTTCTATTATCCGACGTTATGTGTTCTTTGGCCTTCCTCTTTTCCGCTTCCCTTCAGGATTCCAAGTTAGGGCTTGCCTCGTGATGCAGTTTGACGATTTGCGTAATGTATGTCCTATCCATTTCCATCGTCTTTTCCTAATTTCCTCTTCAGCTGGAAGTTGGTTTGTTCTCTCCCACAGAAGGCTATTGCTGATGGTATCCGGCCAATGGATGTTGAGTATCTTGCGTAGACAGCTATTTATAAATACTTGTACTTTCTTGATTGTGGTTGTTGTAGTTCTCCAAGTTTCAGCTCCATACAGTAGAATTGCCTTGACGTTCGTATTGAAGATTCTCACTTTGATATTGGTTGAAAGTTGTTTTGAGATCCATATGTTCTTCAATTGTAGGAATGCGGCCCTTGCTTTGCCAATCCTCACCTTTACGTCTGCATCTGAACCTCCATGTCTATCGACGATGCTTCCCAGATATGTGAAGGATTCTACATCTTCCAGAGTTTCGCCATCAAGAGTGATTGGATTGCTGTTCTCCGCTTTGAATTTGAGGACCTTCGTTTTCCCTTTGTGTATGCTGAGGCCTACTGATGCAGAGACTGCTGCTACACTGGCTGTCTTCATCTGCATCTGTTCGTGTGTACGTGATAGGAGGGCTAGGTCATCTGCGAAGTCCAGATCGTCTAATTGGTTCTGAGCTGTCCATTGTATTCCGTGTTTTCCTTCAGATGTCGAGGTCTTCATAATCCAGTCGACCACCAGAAGAAAGAGGAAGGGAGAGAGTAAACAGCCTTGTCTGACTCCGGTCCTTACTTGGAATGCATCTGTCAGCTGTCCTCCATGCACTACTTTGCACTGTAGTCCGTCGTATGAGTTCCGGATAATATTGACAATCTTCTCAGGAACTCCGTAATGTCGAAGAAGTTTCCATAATGTCCTCCTATCTACACTGTCGAATGCCTTTTCATAATCAATGAAGTTGATGTACAGTGACGAGTTCCACTCAACTGATTGTTCGACGATGATCCGTAGTGTTGCAATTTGGTCTGTGCACGACCGATCCTTTCGGAATCCAGCTTGTTGATCTCGAAGTTGGGCATCTACTGCATCCTTCATCCGGTTCAGCAACACTCTGTTGAAGACTTTCCCTGGTATTGACAGTAGTGTGATGCCTCTGTAGTTTTCACATTTGCTCAGATCTCCTTTCTTTGGAATCTTGATGAGGTGTCCTTCTTTCCAGTCCATTGGCACTTGTTCCTCCTCCCAAATCTTTTTGAATAGAGGGTAAAGCATGCTTGTGGTTACTTCGACGTCTGATTTCAGTGCTTCAGCTGGTATGTTGTCGGGTCCTGCTGCTTTCCCGTTCTTGATTTGTCTGACGGCCATTCTAATTTCTTCCGTCGTTGGTGGGTTGACATCTATAGGAAGATCTGTGTGTGCTGCTTCGATGTTCGGTGGATTCATTGGAGCCGGCCTATTCAGGAGTTCCTCGAAGTATTCTACCCATCTGTTTCGCTGTTGTTGAATTTCAGTGATTGGCTTGCCTTCTTTGTCTTTGACCGGCCTCTCTGGTTTACTGTATTTCCCTGATAGTTTATTCGTTGTATCGTAAAGCTGTTTCATATTTCCTTCTCTAGCAGCTTTTTCTGCCGTCGTTGCTAATTCTTCCACGTATTTCTTCCTGTCGGCTCTAATGCTCCTCTTCACTTGCTTGTTTGCTTCTATGTATTCAGCTTGTGCTTGGACTTTCTCTGCTCGTGTTCGGCTGTTGTTAATTGCTGTCTTCTTGTTCTTCCTTTCTTTGATCTTGTCCAGTGTTTCTATAGAGATCCATTCCTTATGATGGTGTTTCTTTAGGCCTAGAACCTCTTGACACGTTGAAGTCAATGTTTCTTTGATGCCTTTCCAGTTGTCCTCCATGGTAGTTTCTTCTTCCTTCAGTAGATCCTGTAAAGCTTGGAACCTGTTGTTGAGAGCTATCTTGAATTCATTGAGTTTGTCAGTATCTCGAAGGAAGGCTGTATTGAACCTTTGTAGTACTGTTTGTCCACTTGTCCAGTTCTTTTTTAGCTTCAGTTTTAAATTGGCTACAACTAGGTGGTGATCTGAAGCTACGTCAGCTCCTCTCCTGGTTCTCACATCTTCCATTGTCCTTCGGAATTTTTTGTTGATGCAAATATGGTCTATCTGGTTCTCTGTAGTGTGGTCCGGTGAGATCCATGTAGCCTTGTGTATACGTTTGTGTGGAAATATTGTGCCTCCTATGACTAATTTGTTGAATGCACACAAATTTGCAAATCTTTCTCCATTTTCGTTCCTCTCTCCCAGTCCATGTCGTCCCATAATATCTTCATATCCAGTGTTGTGTGTTCCGACCTTGGCATTTAGATCTCCCATCAGATTGGTGAGGTCCTTTCTTGAGCATTTCTCTATGATTGACTGCAGCCGCTCGTAGAATTGATCTTTAATGTCGTCGTTGCTATCATTGGTGGGTGCATAACATTGGATAATATTCATTAAGATCCCCTCCTTCTTTGTTTTGAATGATGCTTTGATGATTCTGGATCCGTGGGATTCCCATCCTACAAGTGCATTTCGTGCTACTTTGGACAGCATTAGAGCAACTCCCTGAGTGTGTGGAGCATTTTCCTCTTCGTGACCGGAGTATAGCAGCATCTCTCCCGTAGCTAGCCTTTTCTGTCCAGCTTGGGTCCAGTGGGTTTCGCTGATTCCCAGTACTGCCAAGTTGTATCTCCTCATTTCCGTTGCTATTTGGCTGGTCTTCCCGGTTTCCCACATTGTTCTAACGTTCCATGTACCTATAAAAATTTTTGCTCTGGTTGTTAGAAGGGGCATCGGCCTCGTGGCTTCCGAAGGAACTCGGCTTTCACCATGAAGCGTCATAATTCTTCTAAATGAAGACCTTCTAACTCTCAGGGCAGAGTTAAAATGGTTTGAATTATTTTTTCTGGTAAGCGTTTTTTTAGCGAGTTAGTTTTCTACGGGATGGGGACGCTAACCCCATGCCCAACCCTCCTCCTTTACCCGGGCTTGGGACCGGCAGTAACTCTAGAAGAGCTACAGGCGGAGTTAGGGATACCAAGAAGCTGTTTGAAATTTAACTGAACACACATTCAACCTTTCATCTTGATAACCTCCTTGTAGCTAGGTTGGGTTTTGTTAACTTTTTTAAAGAAAAACTTTTTTTCCATATGTAATAATGCTTTAGTGAATATAGGCGATAACAAAGCTGTTGAACGTCTACGTGGATGTCATGATCTAATTAATATTGGATTTATGGGAACATTAGTTTGTTCGGGTACCGGAAAAGGTTTGGTTATTGGAACTGGAGAACATTCGGAATTTGGTGAAGTTTTCCGTATGATGCATTCAGAAGAAGTAAGTATTGAAACCTGTACTAAATTCATTATTTTTCTTTGCTATAAGTAACAAGTAAATAAATATGTTTATCCATATCAAAAGCTATCATAACTCGCCTCTAGCTACTCAAATTGAAATATCAACTCATTGATGAACAGAGCACTATGTACTGTTGCAATGAAATTGTACTATTTCTTGAATGGTTTCTGATCCACCCCGTAAGTGTTGAGAAAACAAAATAAAAGTTTTATTCGCACTCCAACCGACGAGGATACAAGGAAAAAGGCGTGGGTATTTATGTATTCTTACGGGATCCGTGTTTCATAGCTCTTAATTCAGTGGTGCATGCTTGATTTTAAAATTCAAGTCGGTAATCATTAAAAACTTTCTGATTGGGGTCCAGTTTTCGGGAAGTAATTCATTTCCAAACGCAAAATGATTACTATTAATGATGTCGACCATCGGAATTCTAATTCAGTGGTCTAAATATATCCTACTCGCTTCAAGACATGAAGATCCTAAGTTTGATCTTGTATATGAGGTTTATCGTTGACACATTTAAAAATGACCAAACTGGTATACAAGAAAATTTTCAGATGTTGAATGATTTTCTCAATGGTTTTCTAGTTGAGGTCAATTTGTGAGAAAAATGGTCTCCGGAATTCCAACAAGTAATCTTCTGGCTTAATGAATTTTATATTCACCGTCATTTTCACTCATTATTTTTGTGTCGAATGATAGGAAATATTTTTTAGCTTAGTTATTTCGTCTTGTGTAATTTGTTCTCTAAATTTTCCAGAGGTCTGACGAACTAAGTGGTCAACAGAAGTAAAAAGATAAAGCTTCCAAAGATGACCGTTTACAGATAAAGCCATCAGAATGGGGTCGTAGAATAAAGATAACCAGCTTACTTCTATGTAAAGGAAGCACAAAGTAATTCCACAACCACAATACAAGTCTAGTTCAAAGAACACGGTTAAAATTATTTCTCTTGTGTACATAAACTAGTCATTCTATCAAGGTCATTATATGGAATCTAAATGAAACAGAAAAGTAGCACTACTAATAGCTACATTCTATAACTATTCCACTGATTATGCTAGGATTGTTTTTATATTTGTTTATTTGCTTTTATCTAGTTACTATAATAAACTTTTGTTCAGTCCATTGTATTGTGAGCTACGAAATCTACCTTTCACTGATCTATAAATATCGTCTTAGCATATTTCTGTTGTAAAATAACCTATTCAAGAGTCAACATATCTGTTTTATCATGATAGATGGACTTCATGCTATTTGAAGTGTTTAAAAAAATAAGATTTCTATTTTAAATTTTGAAATCACAGTGTGTGTTTTGGCATCATTCTGTTTGTTTTTATATAAATCGTCGGTTAAAAATTATTGTCATGTGTATGTGTACGTGACAGTACAGTTCATTATGAAAATGGAACACGGTCTCAGGATTTAGTATTGACAAATAATGTACCACTAGATCTACATACTGATACATTCGACCCACTAAACAAAATAGAACAGAAGTAAACTGGTACCAACCAATCAATAAATATGAGTTTATATCCTAGAACATATCCAGATTTCCTTCATCGGCGAGCGGTTCACTTTAATGAAAATTAAATCCACTACAAGGTTTTTAAACAAGTGATAGCTGACGTTCAGATATCTGAAATATAACTTGTCTAGCTTCTTAATAATTTATTCTTTATTAATTTGAACTCAACATATTCTTGCCATATCTCTTCACATTATTTCCTCTGTTTCTGTTGCTCATTTTCTGTCCTCCTGTTTGTTTTAAGATATTTTAATTCATTAATTTATTACTTTAGTTTTATGAGCATTGTGTAAATATATTTATTTACAACACTATGTTTTAAAACCAAATAAAGTCCTGCACAAGTATTGTTCCGTATAACTCTCAGTTTCCGAGAGCTTTGTTAATGCTAATCTTCAATCTGTTCCATATTTCCTTAAGTGCGTATAACAAACTCCAAAATGTAGTTCAATAAAATACATTTGGTTCACTTACTACATACTCTTAGTAACCAATCTACTAATACAACAACCATTACTACAGTTATATCACTAATATGATTGTGATAAGTCTTCTACTCGAACGCCAGATTTGGTTCCTAAGCTCTTCTAGTAACCCCCAGGCTAAATCTACATAGCAAATTGAACACGAGAGAAAAGGTGCGAAATATGGAAGAAACACATTATTCCAAAGGTTTTTGTTTATGTACAGAAAATCTATGGTTTTTATAGTATTTTTTGATGGCCTTGGGTCTACAGGAAATTCTGGAACGCTACTAAACATAGTAGCAGTATGGGTAATCATCCATTCATAAACCGGACATGTGACTTTTCACTTTCTGAATGTTTTTGGCGAAATTTCTAGTGAATGCTAATTTGATAAGGTGCTTCTCAGCATTTTCAGAGCATCTGGTGTCCTCATTAGTCTAATAGCAACATAACATTGACAACTATCAGTAATCGTTAGCTGCATAAATGATCCTCTATTATAAATCCTAAGTCATTTGGCTGCTAATGATTTGAATCATATAAGCTATCACTCAAACAACTATCAGTATTCTTATTGATCACTGAAGTAGGGGACACTTTTTAATCATATTGAAACAATTATTCCCACTTTATGTGTTTATCAAGAGTTTGATAACCCTATTGCAAATTCTTCAAATGGATAACAAACATTTCAACATCATGCTACTTACTAGTCGTCGTCAATATCTGTTTTTCTTGGTTATTTTTTTATTATTTCAACACATAAATATTTGTACAAAAGGGTACCAAATATATATGCGCCACACCATATTTATGTGTGTGGGCTGTGATACTGCCCGGGTGCCCAGACCGAAACAGGTGGTTTTCTTAGGGGGGCACACCCCGAGCCTTCGACCTGAAGGTCTGATCCACAAGGCAGTGGAGCATCGTAAGGAGATGCAGTCCCATGGAAGCCGGTGACCAACGATTGGTTCATATGCCATTTGTTCCCTTAGGATACTAGAGCCCATGTGCACAATTGGTTTGGATCCGGTTAAAACGCCGGACATTCTCTTTTCGTCCTCTCAATTTCGTAAACAACACCCCCGCCACGAGAAGGCAGTGAGTAGGACTTCCCTGGCAGAGGCTGTATACGCGTGGCCGTGTGAGAGCATTTCGAGAGGTAGAGCAGGCCCACCCCACTCTCGGCCATACCAGGGCATTTGGGGGTCATCTGTTTAAAAGAAAATCACAGTTTCCCTCTTCAGATCAGTTTAAGAATCAATTATCAAAGTGACAACTACATATTTTTATAAATAAGTTTATTTCGCTGTACCTCTTATCATTTGATGTTTATTGCTTGTTATTGATTTAATTCCATATTTCGTTTAGGCACCACGTACACCACTTCAGAAGAGTATGGATAAGTTGGGAAAGCATTTATCTGCTATCTCTTTAATTATTATTAGTAGTATAGTGATTATTGGTCTATTTCAAGGACGCCATATTTTAGAATTGTTAACTATTGGCGTAAGGTAAGTGTATCTATTGATTTCGTTATTATTTATTGCATATACATATATGAGGTCATACTAAAGGTGACAATAATTCATGCCAAAGTATTTTAACAGCGAAAACCACTGATGGAAATAAATCATCTTTCAAGAAAAGTTATGATTATATATCAATATACCAGGAATTTACTTAACGGACTTTTTGCTTGAGTACCTTGTTCATATCGTCAGCTCCCATTTGATGTAATTTAATGTCTAGTGCACCGACCGTTACCCGCTTGCTAAATTGCAGTGAGTGTTGATAACTCATAAAATTTAAATGGTGATCAAGTTGCTGGTTATCATTATATTAGCCATTTTATTTATTTCTTCCTCTCCATACGATGATTAGTTTCGTAATCACTACACAGTTTAATAATTTTTTCGAAATCTGTACTGTTGAACTGATTTTTGTTTTGTTTACCTGTTTCACTTGTGTCATAACTGTATGACTTAAAAATCTTTTCATATTATAGTATAACAGAGTTGTTCAATTCATTTCATTTTACTAATATATACAGTTTGTTCCATCTTCGGCCGATGTGTATATATTTGTGCTAGATCCTACATTATTTATGAATAATTGACTATTGCTTAGTCCAGTGAGAAAATTATCAGTTTAACTGTCTTGGTCGTAGTAAGGGTTTACGCCCTCAGAATCAAATTTGGACATTTCCAAACAATGATAAGTACCATTTACAAATTTTTCTACTTGCGAGATCAATATGCTCAATTATTTGTGTTATTTCAATATCAAATATGAAAACCCCTGTAAATCTTTAGTTCATCTTCAAACTGTAATGGAACATTACTTTATATTAACAATAATTTAATTCTCACTACTCTTTATTCAAAGTGTTCCTTCCTCTGTCTCTCTATCTCATACACACACAAATCCTTTACAGTTTGGCAGTCGCAGCAATCCCTGAAGGTCTTCCTATTGTAGTAACTGTCACTCTAGCTATTGGCCAAATGCGTATGGCAGCAAGAAATGCGATTGTTAGACGACTTCCAGCTGTTGAAACTCTTGGTAAGCATTAGTTTTTTAGTAACTTTGTGGCTATTTAGATTTCAACATTATGATTATATACACAATAACAATACTTCATTTCACAATAGCTAGTCCTGAAGTTTTTCACAGTATGATTAAGAAACGTTTTTAATAGCACGTTATGGTTAAGTAATACAGCCTTCAATTGCCTACTTTTACGAAACAGCCCGAATTGAGTGTCAGCATAAACCAACCGACTATGAAAGGAGAAAAAACTATAGCTAATCTAAAACAGGGGAGGTCTGCAGGTTCTGATTGATTAACAGACTATGTAAAGAATATATATTTAAATAAGAAAGATTAGTTCAGCGAAGAGTTCTCTTTCCGGCGAATTCAGTTTCAAAGCTGTACAATCACAAATGTATATAGTTATTTTTACAGGATGATAATAATACTGATAATAAACTTCTGTTATACATGGTGACAGTGAAGTTAAATAGACAAAGGTATTAAAAAAACATTTTAAAACAAGGAAAGTTTAATAATCGTTTGATTGTTAATGGCTTAAGTATTCATCAAAAGATAGATAGGGAAATCATCTTTGGGAAAGGATGGCTCAGCATGATAAGCTAAAATGTTGAAATAGAGATGAAATGTGATCGGAATGATCGTGAAAATAATCTTTCTTATTTAATGTCTTAATGGGTGTATTCCATTTGCTAAAAAATTCCAGGGACCCTTCGACAGTAAAGGAACTTAATGAGTTTCTGAGTTATTCTGTCAAACTTGCGGAGGTGAATGTGAAGATTACCTTTCTTAAGGATTGCGTTAAAATGCACAAATATTCTAAATACTACTGGAAAATTCGTCGAAGAAACCATATTCATCCAAACTCAAAATCTCTGAAACGCCATGCACAAAATGTTATTGATTCTATTCGTCCACGCATCCCGTTATTGGAATTTAGCATTTCACAAAGATCTCCTGTATTATATGTATTATCACCTAACGAACACAATCTTCTTACCGAATATGTTACCACAGTTATCGACAAACGCACGAAAAACTTAATATCGGACCTCACTAAAAGTTTAAAAACCACAGAAACACAGCATAAACTTCCTAGCAATCCTGAGAGATATGAGTTTGATCATTCTTCAATATCCTTAACAAATGTACAACTAGAAGCCCTATCTTTGGGGAGAAAATTCTTTGACATAAATGAAAAAAATTAACAAAATCTACACATATTCAATTCAAAAACTTAATAAAACAAACAAAAGGTCTTAGTCCAGTCTCTGATCAAGAATTCCAACGTTTCAAATCTACTCTTCTCGATGGCTGCAACCAATATATTAGCACAAAAGTAACAGGCAAAAGTCTTCTAACGAAAGAACATAGAAATCAGATAAAACTACTTAGGAATAATAAAGACTCGATTATAGCACGTCCAGATAAAGGTGCCGGCTTAGTTCTGCTTGATCTCAAAACTTAAGTTGAAAAAATGACAACGCTATTATCAGATGACACTAAATTCTCAAAACCAATCAATGAGATAAACAAGACTGAAATCATAGAAAAGCAACTGATTGAAGTTCTTAAGAGAATGAAAAATGATCAGTTAATCGACGAACATGTCTTTGAGCGCATCGAACCAACAGCATCAATAATACCGCGATTATACGGCCTGCCAAAAATACACAAACCTGGCCTACCTCTTAGACGAATTCTCGATATGTCAGGATCCCCTTACCACTCTATAGCAAAGTGGATGGCAAATCTCCTAGAACCCGTTAGAAAACGCATTTGTAAACATTCCGTACGTGATACTTTTGAATTTATCGAGCGAATAAAAGAAGTAAATGTAAGTGACAAAATTATGCTATCTTTGGATGTCAAATCATTATTCACTAATGTTCCACTCACAGAGACCATTAGTTTTATCTGCAAGTACATAAATAATAATGAGATAAACGTCGGAATACCGGATGTTTATTTGAAGGAACTATTACTACGTTGCACTTGCAATGTACAGTTCACATTCAACGACGTAATTTATAGACAGAAGGATGGTATAGCAATGGAATCCGCACTTGGTCCATTACTGGCAGATTGCTTCATGGTTAGTTTAGAAAACAACCAACTTAAAACAACTATAGAAAACCTCCACTTGTATAAAAGATACGTAGATGATATCTTTATCATTTGTGACAACAAATATGACTTAAATAATCTCCTAAAGGCATTTAATAATTGTCACTCATCAATAAAATTCACACTTGAAGTTGAAAACAAACAAAATATTCACTTTCTTGATGTGGAAATGACAAGAAAGCAAGACAGTACTTCAAAAGGATCTATTTACAGGAAACCTATGTGGAATGACCAACTACCAAGTTTCCACAGTTGTGTTCCCATCAGCCGAAAAAGAAAATAATAACACTCGCTACAAGAATACGAAGAATCTGTAGCCCCGAAGTCGTAGATGAAGAATCGTGCCTCTTAAAGGAGATACTTATCAAAGACGGGTATCCTTCGATATTCATTGATAAGAATATGAGGCCGAAAACGCCAAAATCACAAATAATTACAGTACAAAAAAACTTTATACATGAACATCGACTTCAAGGGTGATAGAGCCACGCTCGAATCATTGAAATCAACTTCAAATTGTGGTATTTCGTCTTTCAAAATTAGTTTACTTCGGTTATTTTCGTATGCCATCCTTGGTAATTTGCTCTTTGTAATACGTTTTAATCACCGAAGTCAGTCTCCGAGAACAGATCACCGCTGTTTAAAAGAGTCAACCTTTAACAAGTTTATAGTCTCTTGATAACGCGAATGTAACTTTTTATATTTCAGACCTTCGTTAACCATGTCTTAGCCGTTTGGTAACGTTAACTCATAACTGACAAACTGTTTGTATAATCTTCTTATCAATGTAAAGTACAGTGTTATTTATCCTTAGGTAATCTTTGAAAGTATTGCTAAGAAAATTTGATGTAATAATACATTGGCTTAAATAACAAAACACCATAAAATGATTCAACTAACATTTACCACAATGCATTATCTGAATCCAGTAATAATAACAACAAGCAAGTATAAAGTCAATTACATTAGCAAAATTACAATTATTTATATACCTTTTTAGCTAACCGAAAAATTACCGTGAGAAAGCAGCTGAATATATTAGTATGGGTTGATCTGTTCATCAGTAGGGCGTAACTGTAATCTTGCGGGTTTCGAACCCATCTCTGAGACGTTATCATTGAGCTATTCAGGCCGCGAATGAATTTCAACCTTATTTCTAAACTTAAATGAAATAAAACATGTTTAAAAAAATACTTTTCTATACTTGTTTGTCTTATTCAGGTTGTGTAAATGTAGTTTGTTCAGATAAAACTGGAACCATGACGAAGAATGAAATGACTGTATCACATATAGTTACTGGTTCATTAGAAAGATACACAATTCCTATTCAACAACCCAATAAACACAGTGATACTACTTGTGTAAAGTTAGATATGAATTATGCCAATCATTCTAATTATTTGACTGTAACTTCTGCTGCCACTCCTACCGAAACCATTAAACTAGATAACGTTTCACTATCAAATAAATTAATGTCAAATCATATCAATCCTCATTATCAGATGTCAGCAAATGCTAGATCAGTTTCGTTTGATGAATTACGTACACCATATTATTATCCACCATCTTTGGATAGCATAATACAGGTAAGGTTGTAATATCTGACCCAGTCAATCACTTGTATTCTTAAATATGTTTCTAATTAGAAGTTGTACAGATTTTTATTTTACTTAAAAAACACTTAATTTGATTTCAGATAGTTTATTCAATTATTTCATGTATAAATGTGTTCAGTTATCGGTCTTTTTTCTCTTTGTTCTGTTAAGGAAACTTGTTGAAATACTTTATGATAAAAATTCCGTTTTGTGTGAAGCATATAATATTGAATAAAGCCATTAATGATAATAGTCACATCAATGTACCTTACTTGTTTGCTCTTTTCTCATCAATATCTCTAGTTTACTTAGTCTATGGTATTCAGAAATATGTACTTATTTCATTTAAACAAAAGCCTGCACATTGTTCTCTTCGTTTATCTGTGTAGAGATGATTTAATACAACCAATTTAACCGCTTATTGTTTCATTATTTTGTTTCAATCAACCTTATCTGTTATCACACAAGTTGTAGTAGTTGTCGTTGTTGTGCTATTTTCTACATTTTTGCACTCATCATTCTATTTCCAAATGTAAGGTCTTATTTGCAAAATAAATTTATTCAAGCACAAAATATGCTCAAGATTCGCAAGTCAGTTTTCAATCATAAACTATGATTAACTCACGTTTTTTCAAAAAGGAAACGTATATTTTTCTACACAAATAAATCTATCTATCAATCTCTGCGGACTGATGTCATGTTTTCATAAGACCGCCTTCAACCTTTTTTCAACCTGATTCAGTGTAAGCAAATGAATCTTGTCGTAGTTGATTGTAGCCTAGGGGTTCGTTGATATAGCTTAAAGATACGACTTGATTTTATTTTGGATAGTGTCGGATAGTGGAATTCGTGTCACTCTTTTCATTCTGTTATGAACTTGTCAACTGGATATTAACAACAGAAAAATGCAGATCTTCACAACTACCGGTAATTACCACCCTCGATGAACATTTTAGTGGTTATCTCAACACATGTGTAATAAATAACGCTGTGGAGTTTGTAACTCTAGTTATTATTTTCGAGTCTCAGTTTTTGTATTAACATAGATTAATGTACATTTGAGTGACAAATCTCAAATAGAACAGCGACGAATTCCTGGATTTTCGTATTATCCACTATTTTAGATGTAAACAGATTTTTCTGGTTTGCCAGATGTGCTAACATGTTAGTTTATAATATAATCAAACGACATGAAACCTGACAGATTTCTTTTGTACTGTATTCTTTGTTTACTATTTACAGGACCTAATATTTTGACATGGATTTCAAATAATCTTGATACACAGTGTTTGTTCTTGTCTTTTTTCTCTTTTAGATTGGTTGTATTTGTAATAATGCTACAATTCGAGATAATCAGTTATTTGGTCAACCCACGGAAGGTGCACTATTAAGACTGGCCTCCCAAGTATGTTGCTTTGCTCATTTATTTTGGTAAATTCATTCCAAATATTCCTCCTTTTTAGTCATTGTAGTTATTCTATCGATAGAGTCTTTTTAAGTATTGTTTACTGAAGTACAAAAGGCAAACCAATCAAAGGTCAAAATGAAATTCGACAATTCTTTGTCTCAGCTTGTAACTCGTCAATAATTAAGCAATTATAATATCGAATGGGGATCGGGATTGATATTTCAGAGTATACAGAATATATTGTCCAACCTTATGCATAGAAATGCGATATTTCGTTGCCAAGATCTTTAGTCAATTATTTTCAATAGTTCTCCCATTGATTTCAGTCAGTATGACGATGGAAACCGTTTATCAACATTCATTAAAAAATATATTTTTATGAATAAGAACTATGGAGTTTCATCGCAGTCGATTTTCCATAATTTACTGACTACAAAGGACATAAGTCAAGAATGAATTTGTTAGTATCGGATTTCATAAAACAAATCAGTCAACCTTAATCAGTTTTGAGTCTGATCCTGTTATAGCCCAAAGCCGCCAATCAAAAGCAGTGAATTATCGATCGAGCAGCCTAGAGCCCTGATTAGTCCTGCTTTCCGCCTAGCCCAGCCAGTTAAGTCCAGAAAACCAGTCAGCCTCTGCAATATGAATCATTTATTTCAAACATATTCTGTTTATATAACAATCAAGCAGACCACGTTGTACCATAAAACAGAAAATAACATTTGTACAAGATTTGGCCAAATGTGGCTGTGAATGTGGGAGGTAGTGATTAACAGACAAGGAATAATTCAAGAATGGTAAATCGTATAATAACAGTTCATAGGTTAAAATAAAGCTTATGATAAGAGAGACATGAATATGAATATTTTATACGAATATTCGTCAAGATTAGAACGAATAGTTTGGCAGAAATTGGGCGCCGAGTATAGAGAAGTCATTATATGTGAAAATTATATTTGAAATAATCTCAGCGATTGAAATCTAAATAATTCCAACTTGTCTGGACGTCTTCAGGGTAATAATCAAAATCAAAATCATCAAAGAAATATATAGCCTTTTAACAATCAACACTGTACTGTGATAAACCAATCAAATTTGGATGTTGATTTTTGTAAAATAGGATAAAATGAGTCAGTTAACTGCAAATCATGTGAAAAAAGTTCAATTACATGGAAATAATTAACTGAATAACAAAATTGTATGTGTGTGAGTATGTATGTATGTGTGAGATTAATTATTGATGTTCTGTGTTGATATGAAGAAATAAATAAATAAAAGTGCAAGTTCAAGGTTGATAAAATTGAATAAGAAAAAGAGAATTCAGCGAAGAAAATTTTTTCTTTTCGACGAAATCATTTCCTTAAGCTGATAAAATTGTTAATGAATCATCGATGTACATGTCAAACATATACCTTATTGTATTGTTAAAAAGCTCATTGAATTCAGTCAAAATAACGATGCATGTGAAATAAACAGGTTGAATAAAGATAGGGTTTCAAATTACTTGTCAAACGAAATTTGCCAGGTAGTCACCAGTTGAATACCATCTTTTCGGTTCAGGCTGTTCTTGACCCTTGAACTTACACTTTTATTTATTTATTCCTTCATATCAACACAGAACATCAATAATTAATCTCACACATACATACATACTCACACACATACAATTTTGTTATTCAGTTAATTATTTCCATGTAATTGAACTTTTTTCACATGATTTGCAGTTAACTGACTCATTTTATCCTATTTTACAAAAATCAACATCCAAATTTGATTGGTTTATCACAGTACAGTGTTGATTGTTAAAAGGCTATATATTTCTTTGATGATTTTGATTTTGATTATTACCCTGAAGACGTCCAGACAAGTTGGAATTATTTAGATTTCAATCGCTGAGATTATTTCAAATATAATTTTCACATATAATGAATATGAATAGTTAATTAACAATTATACGACACAAATATACGCACAGTATTGGTCCATAAATAGATTCCAAAAAATTACCACTCATTATTCTTATCAGGACACAACAGGTACAAATAAGCTTTAGCTCAAGAAGCCAAACCTAATAAGCACTGCCAGATGAAATTAACAAGATAAATTGTGAGGGAATCGAAATAATTTAATGTCAATGATAATGAAAAATTACTGAACATTAAGAATATGATTCAGAAAGGTGAAGTAAAAGGGTATATATTCAGGAATACTGGAACTCAAGATGTACAGGAAGATAAAGAGTGAATTCATCTGTGCCATTGTGGTTGGCTGTTGACCATGTCACTGAAAGTCTCCAACCACCGATCGCGGTTATCGCGCATAATTTAACGAGGTAGTCTTCATTTACTGACATAGCTTAAACCAATATTTAATAACTCTTTCTTAAACTGCTACCATATTTTGTATCTCCTCCAAGCTTTCTTCCAACTTCCAAATATATCAGCTAACGATGAGCGTTAAAGTAGGCGGTAGTTTGGCATAATTAGCCCACGTCCTGATCACCTCAGTCGTTGAAAAATTACAGCCTTTTCGACCGATTTGGTATCATTTAGTTCTTGTTAAGAGTTTAAAGTCGACGATTGAATGGTTACATAACTAAAAAAGCATTCAAATTCATAGTTGTTTTGACGTTATTCCTTCATGATAATTTGTTCTTATTTGTCATGATATGTAATTCCTTGTCTTTCATATACATCTTGTTGATAATTTTTTCTTCAAATATAGTTTCATGCACTAGATGAACGTGCATTTTATACTCGTTTACAAGAATGGCCATTTAGTTCCGAGTCAAAACTTATGATTGTTAAATGTGTTCGAAATAATCAATCGTCGGTAAGACATGAGTATCATTAAATTAATTTAATTGGAGTATTTTTTTCTTCATCAAAACGAATCAAAAATAGTCTCTTTTGTAATATGGATTTTATATATATAGTATTGAATGTATATATATAATCATAAAAACCCAGAAAGCATTGGATTCTAGTGTGGAACACTTCAGGATTGATGGTTGTGTAAATATCACAAGTCATCCAAGGTTAGAAAGCTGAACCATCGAATATTTTACGTTCGGGATGTCTGATTAAAGTAAAAGATGTATTCTCTTTCTTTACACTTATTCAAGCAGCTGTTCAATTGGGATGACTAGTAATATGTTATTAACAAACTGATTAAATGTGTGCAGAAATCATTGGTATATATATATATATATATATATATATATATATATATATATATATATATATATATATATATATATGATTCTGACTGAGACGATGACATGCAGTTTAAGACTTTGATTGAGAGCGTGATTAACTTCTCTCAATAACGTGTCTCGTTTATAATTTCTCATCTACAGTGTGACCGTGAGACGGTATGCGAGTACATGCATGTGATGTACCTAAAATATTGGCCTGGCAGAATATCAACCTAGAATAATTATAAAATAATTCTGTTTCATTCGTGAATCGATACATCAACTAAAGAATCATAGAAGATGAGATAGCTCTAGACCTTCATGTCCTTTCTAGCTTTGGACTCCTTATAAGTCTGAACCCTTATGAGATCGAATCCAGGATATTATGATCCTACAATGGATATGAAACCTGTAAACCTTCAGTCCGAATCAGAATAGTCCCCTTTTTAAATTCACTCATTTTGCAATATCTGCATTGATAGTCCATTGATACGCCTAATTTGAGATATAATTGCGGTTTGTTAGTTACGGATCCCCAGTAAAATCCATCTGGGAAGTAATCGACAGTGAGAACATGTGTTGTCCGTTATTTGTTTATAATACCACCATGCAAGCTTCCTATACACGACCCTAGCCGGTTATTTGAACGAGAAGAAAGCTTAATAGGCTAAATCGTATATATATATATATATATATATATATATATATATATATATATATATATATATAATAGGAGCGTGAAATTAAGACAATCTGATAATCGTAACAAGAAGTTCATAGTGTCAGGTTTCGAACGTTTTACACTAATAACTCTTAAAACCGAAACTTTGCTACGATACCACGTGACATTGCACAAAATTTCATAACTTTTCATATTTTTGAAGTGGAAATACAGTTCCTTTGCACTGGCTTTTTTCTCTACTTCATAATTTAAACTAATTCTGTGTTTGTTCATCTAGCCGAAAATACTTAATTAACGCTGTGACATAGTTTTCAACTGTATCTGACTTATATTTTCATTTAAGTGTTTATTTAGTCACTGTATTTGTATTCATTTTTTTCGCAGACTCCTGATGAACCAGTCTACTTTGCTAAAGGAGCTGTAGACCAATTGCTTAATCGTTGTGCCTTTACATCTTTTTCAAACGATTCTGCGATTTCAATGCAATCATCACCATCTGATGGTCATCCATTTATGTTATCGAATCGTTATTCTAATAATAGTTCTATAAAGTCAATGGATTTAGAGACTAGAAAAGCAATACTTAATGAAGCATCCATACTTGGTAACTTAGGTTTACGTGTATTAGCATTGGCTAAAGGTGTTAATTCTGAACAGATGATTTTCCATGGATTAGTTGGTTTAATTGATCCACCACGTCCGGGTGTAACTGAGTGCATTCGAATATTATATGAATCTGGTGTTCGTGTGATTATGATAACTGGTGATGCTAAAGAAACTGCATGTACCATTGGTGAGTACTGGTAATATAGTAATTGATTTAACGTTTTGCTGTTTATGTTTATACGAAATGTGATGATATACTTTGAAGTATTCTGTGTGTTGATCGATTTCGAACTGCAATCATCATTGTTAAGCTTGGTTTGTATTTATCGTTAATTTCTACTGTATTAGTAAGCAATCCTCAATAAATAAAAATATAATGAATACATTATTAGTATCACTTTATCGTCAGGGCTAACTGAATTCTTTTCAACACGTCCTCAATTTGTTCATCAGATCAATATTGATTCAGCGACAACAATACAGACTGTACTTTGTTCCTTATCACATAAGGGTTATTAGTAAGCATCACTGATTTTGAGTTTTGTACATGTTCAAGGTTAAACCTACCTTTCTGTAGTGTTATCCATCATCTTAACATTTATAAGTATTTATTTGCGATAACCTTTTTTGATTGTTTTCACTGTGGTCATTAATTTTACAAATATAATATTAATTAATAGTGTGACACAAATTCTATACAATATAGATATTAAGCATTGTGTGTCACATAAATTAATGTAATAAATATTAATAGATTTTACTATCAAGATTTCACATTAATGATAAAAATAAGTCACTTTTGAGGTAAATAGTGACTAGTTAAAATCGACTTTTAGATAAAATGAAATCTTAAAATTAATAATTGGGATAGATAAAAGTAGGTAACACAGGTTAAGAAGAATGGTAATAGTAATGTCATCACATCAGAGTCATTTGTATTTAAGGGTGACCGCGACAGATTCAGTCACCCTCTAATACTACATACTCTTATATTTTTTGTGCACAAAGAATTACTAGATATGTGTCGAAAGGGAACGTTATATTTGTGCAAGGATAAAACTAGGCACCAACGAAATGGCTTACCTGGTTAAATGATGAGTATGCAAGGTGAAATTCTAGATGAAATCGACCCTTGTATATATACCTTCAGTCAGTTTAGCCTCTTAAACTAACGAAGTTGGTACCAATACTTACTGAAATATTTATTCTGAAGAATCATTTAGTGCTATATTTACAAGAGGTTACGTGAATCTGGAATAATATTAATCTAGTAAGATATAATAAAAATGAAATAGGATCCAGTTTCCTCATTAGCATAATCATATCAGATGTACTCATTAGGCTATCTAATAAATAATCTGAAAGCATAATCCTGTTCTAATACTAAAACGCAAAATGATACTTCTTAGTATCAGATCTCCATCTATCTGTATCTCGAATTGTAAACTAGCAGCTATCCGTTAATATTGTTCCATCCCTACATCGGATTGTAACTCAACGGTTGAATTATTTTATTTTCAACCTCTGATCTTTCAAGAGGGCTAGGTCATATCCTTCTCCCTTATTAATTGTGTTTTGATACTGAATGCAACAAGTCGTATTTGTCTCTTCATAGAATAGGATATTCTCTATATTTCCGTTGCTCAGTGCATACCAGTGACTGGACACCGCACTATTTTGGGAAGTCTACATGAAAATCCAATCATGATCAATTGTCATAGTGAAAAAACTTGCTTTTCACTAGGTCTCATAAACGTTGATTACGTTTGGATCATTCTTGTCCCGAAAAATCTCACCCTTGTAACAATATAAATATCGTCTAGATTCTAGTGTGGTATACTAATTCTTTTTATTGTTATAGTTCAATATTTGTTTATAAAATTATTCGTTTATACTTATGTTTTCTGTCGATATTGATTTTATTAATTTAGGCTCTCGTTTATCTCTTTATCGCCCTGGTGATCTGTGCCTCAGTGGTGAAGAAGTAGAACGAATAAGCGTTGAACAATTAATGTCAGTTGTACGTAATGTTACTGTGTTTTATCGATCCGGACCGAAACATAAGTGCAAAATCGTCAAGGTAACTAATTACCCAATAATTTACAAAATGTACATCATATTAAGTATTCTCCTGTTTTTAGTCGGTATTTCTCTATTTTTGCATTGTATGTGACTGAAATAATTAATCAGCATTATTCAAATTATCTTTCACGTATGTAGACTGTGTTTTGGTCAGTATCCAGCGGATAAAATCCATTATGCAGGTTTCCCCAATACATATGACTGGTCTGTCGATGTTTATCTGAATCTGTGTTGATTTTTCCATTGAAATTTGAACCTCTCTCCTTTTCAGGATGATCAATTAGAGAGTATCAAGACTGTCGTAATCCAAATGATTTTTCTTTTAATAAGGTCCGAAAAGTGGAAACCTCACATGATATGTTTTTGAACTGATCACGGTGTAAATCTATTCAGATGTTATCTTTTGTGCTATTCCCGAATGTTTTATGTTCATGGTTTGCTTGATCAATGAACAATAGTTGAGTCAGTTGCCCGATCATAAGCGACAAAGTAGCTAACGCATCGGTTTAAGTTGCCATGCAATGTCACAACGAGATGAACCTCAGATCACTATGAGTAGTAACAGTATTAATGGTAGTAAAGATCTGGGATAGGCAGAATGAATTCGTGGAATAGAAAAGTGTAATATAATTTTAAAATTCAAGGGAAGACTAGTGAGGTGATTTGACCTATTACGACTAATTCTGAGCCGTGCCAAACATTGTGTTATTTATCTATTCCCTTTTAGTCCCATTTTGTATATTTTATTTTTCAACTCATACAGTAGCTTGTTCATGGTGCAAATATTGTTCTATTTAAACTGTCTCAATTCACTGACTGGTTGAAATTTGAAAGCTACCACGAAATGCAAATTTCAAACCAACCTTCGTGAAACGACGTTTACTATTCAAACTGGCATTCCTCAACGTTCGCATACTAATGCAGACCAAATAAAAAATAGGGTTTGGTATGTCTTTAGAAAGTCTCAACATCTATATCTGTAGTCTATCCAAGGCTCGTATTCAAGACTAGTGAAGTATCACAAATTTACTCTTCTCTGTAGATTCGAAAGGCTTGTTCTGTGTCCACTTGTTCGGGGATCCTGTGGCATCTTCATCTGACTTTGTTGTCGCACTAAGCTCTCGAGCTGAGGTAACACTGATCGGTTGGATCTCCATTAACAGTCGATTATGTACTTTTAGATTAGAAAGCCCCATCAAACAACGAAGAAATCTGTGTGAGAAACGATTTCTTCGTGTTATCTGCGCCTACGTCCCGACAGACTGCAGCCTGGATGAGTTTTACTACCAGTTAACCGTTTTTTTTACACAAAGTGCGTCCGGCAGATATTGTAGTAATAATCGGAGATTTGAATGAGCAGATTAGGTGGTCGATCGGGACTCACTGGTCGCAGATTGGATAACGGCGACCGTCTCTTGCAGCTTGCACGGATCACAACTTGTTTCCATCGCCTAGGTGTTTCCCGACGTTCTCCATCTGCATCTCAAAACTGGACTAAGATGTTGCGTCCTTGATCTGTCTACTCTATAATATACTGGAGAGAGGTAACAGGCGTACGTAAGTCAGTAAGTATAGTTGGGACCATATACTGTTTTTTGGACTCAACAACCAGAAAAGGGAGAGAAGTTATTAAATCGATGATCAATAAGAGCTTAGTGTTGCCTCAAGGTTATTAGTGCTGGTGTTTTTGTCACAAGATATTAGTGAGCGGTCATATGTTCAAACATTCACCTAATACCCTTCATCTAACCTCAATATCACTCTCTCAGTGGACCCTAAATACACAAGCTGTTCTTCAGAGACACGATCAAATATCAGTAACCTACAAATATCCTTTGTTTTTGAATGAGAGACTGTTGTAACATTTCAAATGAGACGGAATTCGTACTCATTAATTAAATTATATACAACATTCAGACACTTTACAAGCTTACTAACTCTTTCAATATTAATCTTGTAAACAACTTGTTTGTAGAATTTAACATATGAATATAATTTTATACGGACATGACACTGTAGTTTACGATAATCATTCTTGATGAACTGTCTTGAGTAACAAATCTGATAAAATCGGTGATGTATTAAAACAAATAAATGGAAGGGATTTGTTGAACATGTTATTTAGTTCGATATTATAGGAAATAGTGTTTGTGTTCGGGTGTCTACTCTGTTTTAAAATGTAATTTCTCAAACTACTGTACTTTTACACAAGATTATGCTTTAGTTTTCCGTATCTTGTTTTGATTTATCCGATTCGTGTATTTTAGTTTACATCACGGACTGATTAACTCAATAATCGTCGAAAACTAGAAAGCACTAAATAGCTGCTTCCAGCTAGTATGAAACTCATCACCAATATGCGTTTGCGACCCTTCCAGGATTTCCACTTTAAGGGCTTTCTAACTAGTCCATTGATAGAAGATGCACAATATCAGAAATTGACTGGAGTTCAAAGTGTGAGCCACTGCATAGCAACTCACTGAATTTAAAATCGCACTGGTCTCTTGACATTTTGAGTTTGACTCTTGGCGACCTCTTGTATCCGCACCGCTTAGGAGAGCTCTCGTAGTTGGACGAAACTTGTCCAATGCTTCTTTGTTTTCAAATAGTTGTCCCGCTAAATTCACTGCCTAATGTAAATTACAAATTTATGGTTCTCGACAAACTACACTAATAATTTTTTTGTCCATTATATCAACAAATTTACGTTTCTCGTCAAAATTTTGGTCTCTAACTTGTTTTTAACCTTAAAAATCATTTTATAACTCTAAATTGTCTAATCTATAATTCATCTTTTCTCGCCTATAAGGCTCTACAACAATCCAATTTAGTTGTCGCAATGACTGGTGATGGTGTGAATGATGCAATCGCATTAAAGTCATCAGATATCGGTATTGCAATGGGTCGTACAGGAACAGATGTATGTCGTGAAGCTGCTGATATTGTTTTATTAGACGATAATTTTGCCACAATTTTAGCTGCGATGGAAGAAGGCAAAGCATTATTTCATAATATTAAAAATTTCATCGGCTTTCAATTAAGCACGTAAGTTGGTTGGTGGGTGCACAAATAATTTCTTTCTTTCATTTGTTCTACATTCCTTCTACTTAGCAGTTGAATGAGTACTTCTTTGGGTTTGATGATTTTTCTGTTTACAAGTAATCATTCTTTGATTTTCTTTATTAAAAAAATGAATATGAATAGACAAACCCGGTAAAAATTATGCCGGCTTGTAAAAATGTTATGTATTATTCACACTCTCATTTACTTTATGGTTATAAATAGCTCAACAATTTGCTTGCATTTGTTGGTTAAAGCAGTTAACCTATATATATGCCATACATACATTAAACTATTTATAGATTACTGTCAGTTTAACGCATTTAAATATGACCTATAAAACGGATGTTTAAAGTGATATGCATTTCATCATTATGTTTGATGTCGCTTCAATCAGTAGTTGGTGAACATACTAGTCTTCACCTACCATCTTGCTTTCTTTCTCGCATCGGTATACTAGTCATGTTCCATTGCAATAACTGTCAGGTAGCAGTTATTCCACAGTCATAACAAACGGCTGTACTGTTTTCGGTATCACCATTATATCACAACAATCGGCTAACTATTAAGTGGAACACGAGTATATTCTCGTAAATCATCCTATAACGGATCTTTATAAAATAATCGAAAGTATGAATAATTTATGAAAATAAGGGGATTCGTTTTTTAACCAAAAATGATAGGTTGATGTGAATTATTCTATTATGTTTTGTGCTTATCCTGTTATAAAGAATGATCTAAATATGTTTCTGCTAGTTGATTATGTCATGAACTCACTGTACATTATTTCATTATTCTCTTTTTTTTGTAAAATTGTTCACTCAAGAGCTCTGTTACTTAACAACCCATGTATATAGTTATCATTGTAAGCTTAATCTTGACAGATAAATAATTTACCGTAGTAACCAACTGTAGAAGGAACTGTAACTTTAGTATAATTTCAAAAAGATTTACCAACCTTACAGACTGCTCATGTTATATACTCAAATTCTTACCTGGCCGTTTAAATGTTTAAAACATGTGACATTCACCCTTGGTAGTTTTACATACTAACCCTCATTATTCCCATCAAGAAATTTTTTGCTTAGCGTCATGTATATATTTTTTCGGTAACACGTCATTCTATAACTTATTTTTACAGGTCTATAGCTGCTCTAGCCTTAATTGCTTTATCCACATTACTTTCACTCCCAAGTCCATTGAATGCTATGCAAATTCTTTTTATTAATATACTAATGGATGGTCCACCTGCTCAAAGTCTAGGCGTAGAACCACCAGATCCTCATGTGAGTTCCGTTCATTACTCCTATTTTTAAAATTAAAAAACCTATGACATTCATACTCTAATCCTCTCTCATTTTATACAGATGGATAGATAGGTAGATAAGACTCGTATTTGGTAGTTGGAGCTGGTCAATAAGAAACCATGAGCTTCGTGCTAGGCTTCTCTCACCACTAAAGTGTACCTGCAATCTTGAACAAGCTCATACATATTAAGTGGAAGAATGTTCACCTTCAAAACAATTTAGCTTAATTAACCAGCGAACAACCTCGCGTAATTTTTATTATGTGATTATACACGCACAGCTTGTATCTACTCATACTTTGGTTGTTACTCCATTTAGATTCCTTTTGGTAGGTTGCAAATTGGATAGTATTGCTATTGCCTACACAGACCAATATAGTTTGAAACCAAGTCCATAAAATTGTACTGGATAAGTAATTTAAAATAAGCTCTTAAAATTTGTCAACCAGGTTTACTGACTTTTGTTTGACCAATAATTAATTGTCATTGAATGCTTCTGTATTGTTAATATAATTATTTTTTTATTGAATCATTTTTCTCATCTTGTCTGTTTTCTTCTGGTAATGTAGGTAGTTAGACAACCTCCCAGACGAGCAAATGATTCTATTTTGGATGGTCGTTTAATGTTCAATGTATTGACAGCTTCATCACTAATTGTCTCTGGTACTTTATGGATTTTCTTTAGAGAATTGTCTGATAATAAAGTTACACGACATGATACAACTATGACTTTTACATGTTTCGTTTTATTTGATATGTTCAACGCATTAAGTTTTCGATCACAGGTAATAATAATAATCTTTATTATCAATATTATTATTATTGCTTTGTCGTATTTATTAATCATTAGGATTTGTTTTAAGAAGGAATAATCAGTACTGTCCGTAGGCTACCGAATTTTCATATTTATGGTTTGTTTAATAATTGAAGGAACTAAGCTAAGACAATTGTTAGTTATGAACATAAATAAAAAAATAAGCAGTCCTATTGTTGTGAATCCTCACTTCCTTTATTTAGTCTGACTTTGATGGTCCATCTTTATTCAGTAGCTACCAACTTCTGAAAGTTGTAATTTCCGTATAAGTACACGGATGCTCGATAATTACGTGACAACACCCCCACACATTCGGAAGCGATTTTCCACTAGTTTCTGGTCTATGATTCCACCACGACATCAGATCATCCATTATACGCATCAAACCTGACCGTTTTCTTGAAGTAAAAAATATGTTATGTGGTAACTAAGAAAAGTGAAATGATGAAGCAGCTAAGAAACCTAACTCCTTAGGATTCCTAAGTGTTTTAATGATAGAAATGGAGATGAAGCAAATATATTACTACAAATGAGGATTAATTTTCAGACGATAAGGTCTATGCATCTCAAATTGTGAGATACAGTTCTAAAGATCCCAGTTCACATATTTATTGGGCGGATTATGTATCTGTTGTCCGTTAATGCAAACAGACAATAGATGCATTGCATCTGCCTTTTAACTTATTATGCTACATAAACTGTTGGTAATAAGTACAAATCCTCAATGTTTAAAGCCATCAACTTTCAATTACTGGGTTGCAAACCTACTTCAGTTCCCGTCACCGAAGTTAATATCATTAACTCTGATATATACAAAATTGTAGCCAAATATTAAAAATTGAAATTGGTTACCAAACTGTTTTGATTTCTTTAACAAATTCCAAGATACCACTGTTAGAAACAACATTGACTCGTTTATAGTGACCATCGGACAGTATTGACTACCGTTACTATATAAATATAATTATCATCTTTATTCTATCCAATATGAAAAAAAATTTTACTAACGCAAAAGTTACTGATTTTTCCACAGGAGGATTATAAAAGTTGTGTATTATATTTTATCATGAACCTTCATATGATAAAGCAGTGCACCTCATCCCCCTAATTCATGAATACTTTCACGAAATCACTTAGTCTCATATTTACACAACATTACCCTTTACTCCTTATTGGATGTATAATACAATCTGTTGGTAAATTTCACTTGCTACGTTCAGCTTTGTATACTTCCCCATAACCCATATTATTTGTGTATGGATCACTAATACTGACCAGCTAGCCAAACCGTAGTAGATCGAACTGATTTCAAATTCAACAGTCAGTAATTGAAAATCAATAACTGTAGCTGTCAAGTTACCCCTTCTCGTGTCACTTTTTTTTATAGAATAAATCGATCTTCTCATTGGGATTTTTCTCTAACCGTTTGTTTGTACTAGCTGTTGGGTTGTCTTTATTTGGTCAGTTATTGGTAATATATTTCCCACCATTGCAAGCTGTGTTTCAAACTGAAGCATTGACATTAAAAGGTAAATGGTTGTGTTTTTTCTTCTATATACTTCATATGATTATTTACTAGTTTGGTAACCTATATGGACATGCAAGGAGTTACGTCTTCACCTTTTAACTTTCCTGAGTACTTTGACGTCTCAAGTTTAACTGAGATGTGCAGATATAGCCTTGAACTTAATTTTCCTGCTAGTTGACACTAATCAACGAAGCGTATGTTCACTTTGAGGGAACTAATCTTTCATGTGATGTTTGGGCCCGCATGAATCAGTGTTGTAGTTCGAAACCTCACTACTGATTCATTTTACTTGTGACTGACCTTCTGTATGATTGAGATTTCCGATTGATCAATACTATAAAGACTACAAAAATACTACACTGGTTACTGTTTAGTGATCATATTAATTGTAAATCACTTTTATATTAAGTATCTCGATCTGCGTAACATGTAAAATGTGCAATTTGATCCCCATAGCCGGATATGTCTCTTTGCTTGCTTATAAGTTACGATGCGCTATCACTCTGAACACATTAAAATGTTTTAATTTTAATGTCAATTTAGTGAAAACAAAACAATATTTAATTATCCATCGTTTGTGAATTTTCTTCTTTCTTTCTCTTCTATAGATTTAGTTTTATTAGTTTGTTTAACGTCATCGGTATTTTTCGTGTCTGAACTACGTAAACTTGTGCGCATACGTTCAGATTTCTATTTCTGGGCTACATATTTTCTGTCGTTTATAAGAATACCAAGACGAGTAAAAATGGATGACAACATGGTTTGATGTGTTGATTTTTCTGCCTTGTTAAAATAATGTCCTTTTCCTATAAACAGAAAGTAAACGATTTTATGTTAAGATATACACGCACATATTACGGAGTTTACTTTTTATATGTATATGTGAGGTATACACATTTGTTATAATTTTTAAATGTATCTTATTTAGGTAACAATCTATCTCAAACCTACTTTAATTCTCCTATCTTATAGTAAAATAACAATCGTTGAGAGAATTGTATGTATCTATTTCTTGATGTAGAATCTACAAATTTCTTCGTTAATGAAAAAAATAAAATACCATTCTGCCTGTACATTAAAGTATGTTTGTTTCAGTTATATTTCTCATTTTTTTCCATCCCCATTTTCATGTATTTTTGTCGTATCGTCTATGCTGCCATTTTATTATCCTTTTGTTTATGTCAATTTTATTTTATTTTTTAAATTTTCTGGTCATCTATTTTGCTTTAATTATGAATACTGATTCGGTTTGTTCCTTTTTTTGTAAAAAAAATTACTAAAGTTTATGTCCTGTTTCCAATTGCTTTTGTTTCATTCACTTTTTTGTACTTATATGAATGCTTCTCATAATCCAATGTATTAAGTTAATGTCTTCTTCTTTCTCTTGTGATTTGTTATGCTGAGATTTCTAGATTTTATGAAAAAAGAATTCTGTACGTGTGTGTATATCGATAAAAGTCAAATGATATTCCTTCAATCTTATCACCATTATCACTAATAATATTCATTCACGCAGTAATGTACTTATTGTCCTCATTTATCTTCTGTTTCTTTTAAACTCACTATTCGTCTTTCTAAGATATTCAAGTCAGTGTTTTGTAGTAGAAATAAAAAGACGTTGTTTTCTTGTTCTGATTTGTTCAGCGTTTTCCTTTTGGATATACTAATGGATAACAAAACGGTTTAAATAATGGTTCTCAGATTTACTTTCAGGGTCGTCTTAACGATTAAAAACTGAGTTTTTAACTGCTATGCTAAACCATTGAACATTGTTTCATCTACTTCCTTCTAGACAGTTGGATATTATTACTGGCCGTTATACAACAACTGTTCAAAACTGAATACATAACCCTGTACTTGGTAAATGAGCTACATTAATGCAATACCATTCAGGTTCAAATATTTTTGCACCTACGTTGGTTTAAGTAATCGTTTAGTATCACTAACCGGTGTGTAGAAAAATTATGATGCAAAGCTTCGACTGTACGAATCTGTATTTAGTTCTTGAGTTGCAATAAGATAAAATGAAAACTTGGAATAATAAAGCATTTATCAAAATTTATATCGTCGGGATAATGATTGTCAAGAAATAACTAAGTACATTTTTATTCTACGACCACTGTTAAATGTAATCTTTATTCTTTGGAAAGATATTTGAAATCGTTCGTTTGATCAAATTAATGAGTACCATAAAGTCAATCGTGTACATGTTCTACCAAGAACTAACCGTTAACGCTGACAAATATGTACCGAACAAAAAGGTATGTGCGATGCAATCTTCTAACTGAAAATCTAGAATAAGGTACAATGCGTTTGTTGCTTTTAATAATACATGAAACAACTGAAAAAGTTATCTACATTTGAGTAATGTATTGTAAATGCAGAATTCACAAACTTCTTTATGTACATTTATAAGTTAAATGACATTGATTGAGGATCGAACACAGCCACAGGGACAATGATGTAAACACATAGTGGACAAGAACACCAGTAGGAACAATCAAACGCATTGGAACATACAATTACAAGATCCTTTATCAAAACCCGAGAACCATACAGTAAATACTTCATTTGCAAAATGTCAATCGGTTGTCTTAGACTTCACTGTTCCTTCATTTCCACATCAATCACTCTCTGTTCTCGTTCTCTTCACGACCTTCTGTCGCCAGATATTCCACTTTCGATTGGTGGTTTATGTTAATTATGTTTGTCGACATCAGTAACACAAGGTAAAATTATTTAAAATGTTGTTTGTACATGTTCGCGTGCTGTGAACTGCTCATCACTTTCATGTGTAAAAATCCCTGCAAGATAATAAGTATTCCGAATTTGAACGAAGCCATAACAATAAAATTTGGAGCATAAATCGAAATCCCTGTTCTAAACGTGGTAGAACATCCATCGGAATTTCGTGAACTGAAGTTCATCATGTTTTGTCTCCGACCTACCATTCATTGTAACCTGAATCTACTATTGAACTAAAGGGAATTTATTTGATTTTGCGAATTATGTGCTTAGTGATTTCAACCAGTCAACTGTGTAAAATACCTACTAAGTTGTTTATGGAATTTTTAATTGTTTACCCTCAAAATTTTAATATCAGTAATCATGAACACTTTCGCTTAACACATGTAACGAATGATGTTACAGTTGTTTATCCATAATTAGGTGTATCTATGAGTTTAACATCAATCACCACGTAGTTTATACACTGTAAAATACTTGCTATAATTGCAATCAATTTACACTATAAAAAGCCTTAGTCTATTTTATGCTTAATCTGCTCACTTAACAAAAATCAGTGACTCGTCTGTTCTATTAAGGAAGGAACCTAACATACACTTCTGTAAAGTTACTTTTAAAGAAACACTTTCTGGTAAGAATAATGTTAGATATGTTGATTCAAGATATTTCACTTTATATCATCAAATATAATGGAAAGTTTGCTGGATAATATTATAAAACACCCGTGAGATGACAATATAGTAAACAAGTGAAATGTATGGGATAACACAATGTCTCAAGCCTAGAATACTCTCGCCTTCCCTACTGCAGTTTATTTTGAACTGTGTTACTCGAAGTTTGCAACTAATAATCATAACTAAGAGCCATATTTATGAAGCCTATACCTCTGTACTTTACTCACATTAAGAGTCAGTAATTTCATATGCCGACGCTGCGCTACGATTTGGTCACCTTACATATATCCAGCACAACTCAGTATAGTTTGCGACGTTAAAAAGCCGTGGCATGTTTCCCAAATACCCGAGTCGATAAAAATTCACAGCTATACTAATATTACTTAATCGATGTTTCCACTACTTATATATAGTGCTCGGAATTATTCTACTCAAATGCTTATAGACTACATGTCTCCCTTGCTTTTCAGAGGATTTCCACACAGCCGTAATATATAATCTATAGTGAACTTCTATGCAACGAATGGAAGTGACCTTATAGCACGTGATTTCGTCAACTGATTTCCATACTTCCCACCTGTCTTCTGTTCAGGACTTAGGCATAAGAAATTTCTGGGTAACCAGATAATGCTTAGAAGTCAGTGTCACATTTTCCTATACCAGACATAGTAAAGAAATAGATGAAAACGAGAATAGGATTCATCAGGTTCAGTGTTGCCGTTCATTTCTTCCAAAACCAGAAGGTCCTACCTTGAATGAACTTATGGGTTCACACTTTCGATTACTTTTGAATTACTGTCCGTAGTGAAAATCGACTTCAAATTATCTAGAATCTTCGTATAATCATTATTCATATATTAGTGCTAGAAATGCCAACATTGTAGATTAAAACAATACATATGAGCAAACAAAATTGTTTTCACTTAGATCATCATCAGGCCTTAATCTTCAATACATTATTGTTTATTTATATAGATATATGAAATTATTAAACTAATCAAATTAATTCACAAATCAATCATCACAATTAAATAGAGTAGTCGAAAAATTATTAAATCTAGACAATAAACAGTTATAATCACTTAAGATTAGCTCTATTGGCAGAGTGGGTCGAGCATACGTTTTTCTACAAAGAAAAACGCTTTTTACTTAGTTTCTAGCTCAAAGAATAATTGTTCGATGTGTAAACATCAAGAAACTTATTAAAGTTGAGTTAAACTTTATGACAAATTTATGACCAAATGAAAAAAAAATGATGAGAATCCTCTCAGGATGTATATATGCCAATAGAGACGACCAATTACAGTCTTTCACATCAACAATGGGAAAATACATACCGTTACAAATTAGGAACTTCTGACTGGGATTATCAAAATCATTCAAAAACATGTTCCTCTATACTGTTAGCCATTGGGCTTAATGTATTTTGATTAATACCAGTTATGTATTAAAACTGCTAAGTTTCTCTGTTATATCAAAATGTGATTTATTAAATACAGACCAATTTAAATGTGCTTTAGGTTATCATTTTTACTACGTGTATCGTACAAATATCTGTGTTCATTAAGTGAATTCTGAATGTCAGAGTATAATTTTCACTGAACATCTGTTTTCAAACCCTAATATTTACTATATCTTTGATTGTCCTTCAATATGTTGAGCTATATTACACAAAATATGTCCACAAAGTTAGATGCAGACAACTCTAGCCCTTGCGGCAATTGTGTATAGCGAAAGCTGAAAAAGATAACAGTTTAGAATTTAACAATTTCTTTATTTCAAAAAGTAGATTTGACAGTAGATTTTGAGCAACATAGTTATAAAAATAGCATTCTAACATCGTCTGAATTTGATTAAACCTGTCTTTATCTGACTACAAACTGATGAACAAAAGTGGCATATTTATGATGCGAACTGATGATTAATTAATCGTTTAGCTAAGTGCAAAAACAAACATTAAGAATCATTCAGTCCATCGGATAATACTCGTTAAATTATAAATGATGATTTGCACAATAAAGTATTTCCTGTAAACACTGTATACCTTATTATGCAAGATTAAAAGTGTGCTAACAGACTGATGATAAACAGAGTTACTGACGATATTTTACTTCAAACCATAATCATTTGTAATTTCCAATCACAACCACTATTATATTATTTAATATAAACGATACAATGATGAGGTGAATAATTTCTCAAAACAATCCGACATGAAAAAAACAGATTGTACATTCAAGCATGTTAGTTCTTGTTTAGCAGTATACAGTCCAAACTGATCTTAACTAGACAACCATTAAAACCCAGAAAGTACTGTACGACCGTTTTATACTTTTCCTTGACTCAT